ATCCCATCCAGTGCCGTGGGCAGGTCCCTCCCCATGGGACCAGGGTGCTCCAGGCTGGCTTTGGGCACTTCCAGGGATGCAGAAACCACAGTTTTTCCTCTGGGAATTCCATCCCAGGCAGGAATTCCTTCCCAGTATCCCAATTCCAGTGGGATAGAATCCCTTCATGGGAAGTGGTGGATCCCCATCCTTGGTGTGGAGACCCCGCCGGGCTCGGCACCAAGTTCTGGGGGGAACTGCTCCGAGCTGGGCAATTCCATGGGATGGTGGAGTGTGCAGTCATGGAATGAGAGAATGGCAGAGTGGTGGAATCATGGAATGCTGGAATGGTGGAGTGGTGGAATCATGGAATGGTGAAATGATGGAATGGTGGAATCATGGAGTGATAGAATGCTGGAGGGATGGAATGTGATGGAATGCTGCAATCATGGACTGCTAGAATGATGGAATGCTGGAATGATAGGATCATGAAATGGTGGAATGATGGAATCACAAAATGATGGAATGTGATGGAATGATGGAATGGTGGAATCATAGAATGATGGAATAATGAAATGGTGGAATCGTGAAATGATAGAATGATGGAATGATGCAATCATGGACTGCTAGAATGATGGAATGGTGGAATCATGGAATGGTAGAATGATAGAATGCTGGAGGGATGGAGTGGTGGAATGATAGAATGGTGGAATGATGGAATCATGGAATGATGGAATGTGTTGGAATGTTGGAATGTGGTGGAATGATGGAATCACATAATGATGGAATGTGGTGGAATCATGGAATGGTGGATGCTGGAATGATAGAATTTTGGAATGGTGGAATGATGGAATCATGGACTGATAGAATGCTGGATTGATGGAATGGTGGAATGATAGAATGATGGAATGGTGGCATCATGGACTGCTAGAATGATGGAATGGTGGAATCATGGAATGGTGGAATGTGGTGGAATCATGGAACGGTGGAATGATGGAATGTGGTGGAATGCTGGGATGGTGGAATGATGGAATCACGGAATGATGGAATGCTGGAATGATAGAATGATGGAATGGTGGACCCATGGAATGCTGGAATGCTGGAATGTGATGGCATGCTGGACTCTGGTCTCCCATCTCCCCCAGGTTCACCCAGAACCTGTCGGCGTTCCGGAGGGAGGTCAACGACTCCATGAAGAACTCGAGCTACGGCGTCAACAGCAACGACATGATGAGCTGACACCTCCAGAGCCTCCCGGCCCGGCCCCAGGAGAGATCCCAGGGCCTTCCCAACCCCCAGGGAGGAGGGAGCAGCAGGTGGAGCTCACCTGGGCAGGTGTTTTCCCGTGGGAAGGGCAGAATCCAGGTGCAGGAATTCCAAGGTGTCTGTGTCTTTTTCCTTCCCTGGCCGGAATGTGGAACCGGCGGCGCTCCGCTGCGAAAAGCCTGCCTTGTATAAAACAAAAAAACAAAACAAAAAAAAAAAAAACATGTACATTTTTTCATAACATTTTGGAGCAAGGTTTATATTGAGTTTCAGAAAAACACCCCCAAAAAAAAAAAAAAAAAAAAAAAAACCAAAACGATGATAAAAAAAAGACAAAATGATAAAAAAACAAAAACAAAGTGTGATTGAAATTTTTACAGAGTCCTGGTGCACCCAGTGCTGGTGTGAGGGTTGTGAATGCGAGTGAGGAAAGCGTGGCCTGAAGCTTTACTGGGCGAGGGGGTGGCTGTGTGAAAGTGCAGAGATCTATTTAGTGAGACAAGCTGTAGAGAGAAACAAAAACTCAAACAACACAAAAAAATTAAAAAAAAAAAAATTAAAAATAATAATAATAATAATAAAAAAAAACCACCACAAAAAAAAAAAAAAAAAAAAAAGGCATTGTAAAATTCCAAATGTATATTTTTTCTTATTAAGCCCCCCTCAAAAATCACAATTTCCCGGTCCCGTCTCGCCCTCGTTCTTGGGAACTCGAAGCCATGACGTGACCCCTCCGTTCGTGCTTGCTCGTGGGTGTCCCTCCTGTCCCCTCTGTAGCAGTAGCCCCTCCCAGGGCCCTCTTTTCCCCCTTTTCCATCCCTTTTTTCCCATTTTTCCGGGCTGGAGCGGGAGCTGGCGGCAGCGCGGCGCCTCCCTGGGGGGGTTCCCGGCGTGGAGCCTCGAGCCCCCCCTGGCAGCGAGTCCATTCCTCCTCAGAGAACCCTGCTGGATGTTTGGGATGGGGATGGATCCCGAATCCCGTGGGTCCGAGGGGTCCGAGGGGAGGGAGCCCCTTTGCCGTGTCCCCCACTATTGTTGCTGCTAGTCGTGTGCATCCTCTTGCTCAGCTCTCCCAAAAACACTCGGGGCCTTTTAGGCCTTCAGTTTCTCTTCCCGGACACTATTAATTTTATTTTTTTTCCTCATTTGTTTTTTTTTGGGGTTATTTTTCTGTTCTGGTTTCGTTCTGCCGGGTTTCGTTGCGTTCCCTCTGCCCCTCCGGTCGTGTGTCGGGTCCTTTCCCGCGTGAGCAGATGCTGGTTGATGTCGGGGTGTTTGCTGCAAACAGTGTAAGCATTGTGACTGCAAATAAACTCAATGGTTTCTACTGAGCCGCGCCCCGAGTGGCTGAGCCCCCCAGGGACCCCCAGAGACCCCACAGCGACCCGAGAGACCCCCACAGGCACCCCAGAGTGGCTGAGCCCCCCAGGGACCCCCAGAGACCCCTGAGTGGCTGAGCCCCCCAGAGACCCCACAGGGACCCACAGAGACCCCACAGGGACCCCAGAGTGGCTGAGCCCCCCAGGGACCCCCAGAGACCCCACAGGGACCCCAGAGAGACCCCACAGGGACCCCAGAGTGGCTGAGCCCCCCAGGGACCCAGAGAGACCCCACAGGGACCCCAGAGTGGCCGAGCCCCCCCAGGGACCCCCGGAGTGACCCCAGAGTGGCTGAGCCCCTCAGGGACCCCCGGAGTGACCCCAGAGTGGCTGAGCCCCCCAGGGACCCCCAGAGTGACCCCACAGGGACCTGAGCCCAAGGGACCCCAGAGTGGCCCCACAATGGCTGAGCCCCCCGAGGGACCCCAGAGACCCCACAGAGACCCCAGAGTGGCTGAGCCCCCCAAGGGACCCCCAGAAACCCCCACAGGGACCAGAGCCCAAGGGACCCCAGAGTGGCTGAGCTCCCAGAGTGACCCCACAGGGACCCCACAGTGACCCCAGAATGGCTAAGCCCCCTGAGGGACCCCAAGAGGGACCCCTGAGGGACCCCGAGACTGACCTGAGCCCCTGAGGGACCCCTGAGTCACCCCACAGTGACCCCAGAGTGGCTGAGCCCCCCAAGGGACCCCGAGAATGACCCCTGAGAGACCCGAGAGTGACCCCACAGTGACCCCCGAGGGACCTGAGCCCCCTGAGTCACCCCACAGTGATCCTGGAGGGACCCCAGAGTGACCCCAAGAGTGGCCTGAGCCCTAAGGAACCCCACAGGGACCCCTGAGGGGCCCTACAGTGACCCCAAGAGTGGCCTGAGCCCCCCGAGTCACCTCACAGGGACCCCACAGGGACCCCTGAGGGACCCCGAGATTGGCCTGAGCCCCAAGGGACTCCAAGAGTGACCCACAGGGACCCCACAGTGACCCCAAGAGTGGCCTGAGTCCCTGAAGGACCCCAGAGTGACCCCAGAGTGACCCCAAGAGTGACCTGACCCCAGAACCCTGGGAGTGCCCCCAGAGCCCCAAGAGCTGCCCCAGAGTCACCCCAGAACCCTGAGGGTCACCCCAGAACCCTCAGCTCCTTCTCAGAGCCCCAAGAGCCACCCCAGAAACCCAAAGGTCCCCCCAGAACCCTGAAAGATCCCCCTGCACCCCAAGGTCTCCCCCTGCACCCCATGGTATACCCCTGCACCCCAGGATCTGCCCCTGCACCCCAAGGTCTCCCCCTGCACCCCAAATTTCCCCTTAGAACCCCAAGATTCCTCCTACACCCCAAAATCTCCCCATTCCTTCAGCTCTTCCCCAGAATCTCCCCCAGAACCCCAAATGTTCCTCCAGAACCCCAAGATCTCTCTCAGAACCCCAAGATCTCCCCGAGCTCTTCCCCAGAACTCCCCAAATTTCCCCGAGCAAAAAATCTTTCAGGATTTATTGAAGTTCTTCCAGGATTTATTGAAGTTCTTTTAGGATTTATTCAAGTTCGAGTTCTTTTAGGATTTATAAAAGTCATTTTAGGATTTATTGAAGTTCTTTTAGGATATATTGAAGTTCTTTTAGGATTTATCCAAGTTCTTTTAGGATTTATTAAAGTTCTTTTAGGATTCATTAAAGTTCTTTCAGGATTTATTCAAGTCCTTTTAGGATTTATAAAAGTAATTTTAGAATTTATTGAAGTTCTTCTAGGATTTTTATAAAAGTCATTTTAGGATTTATTAAAGTTCTTTTAGGATTTATTTGAGTTCTTTTAGGATTTATTGAAGATTTATAAAAGTCATTTCATTATTTATTGAAGTCCTTTTAGGATTTATTCAAGTCCTTTTAAGATTAATTAAAGTTTTCTTAGGATGTATTAAAGTTGTTTTAGAATTTATTCAAGTTCTTTCAGGATTTATTGAATTCTTTCAGGAATTATAAAATCCTTTCAGGACTGATTAAAGACCATTCAGGATTTATTGAATTCTTTCAGGATCTATTGAATTCTTTCAGGATTTATTGAATTATTTCAGGATTCATTGAATTCTTTCAGGATCTATTGAATTATTTCAGGATTCATTTGAATTCTTTCAGGATTTATTGAATCCTTTCAGGATTCATTGAATTCTTTCAGGATCTATTGAATTCTTTCAGAATTTATTGAATTCTTTCAGGATTTATTGAATTATTTCAGAATCTATTCAATTCTTTCAGGATTTACCAAAGTCCTTTCAGAATTCATTTAATTCTTTCAGGATCTATTGAATTCTTTCAGGATTCATTGAATTCTTTCAGGATTTACCAAAGTCCCTGCAGGATCTATTGAATTATTTCAGGATTCATTGAATTCTTTCAGGATTTATTGAATTCTTTCAGGCTTTATTGAATTCTTTCAGGATTTATTGAATTATTTCAGGATTTACCGAAGTCCTTGCAGGATCTGTTGAATTCTTTCAGGATCTATTGAATTCTTTCAGGATTTATTGAATTCTTTCAGAATTTATTAAATTCTTTCGGGATTTACCAAAGTAGTTTCATGATTTATTGAATTCTTTCAGGATTTATTGAATTATTTCAGGATTTACCGAAGTCCTTGCGGATTTAGTTGAATTCTTTCAGGATCTGTTGAATTCTTTCAGGATCTGTTGAATTCTTTCAGGATCTGTTGAATTCTTTCAGGATCTGTTGAATTCTTTCAGGATCTATTGAATTCTTTCAGGATCTGTTGAATTCTTTCCGGATTCATTGAATTCTTTCCGGATTCCCCCAAGTCCTTGCAGCATTCCTCCCGGTGCTGCTCTCCCTCTCCCTCCCCGGAATTATTTCAGGATTTACCGAAGTCCTTGCAGGATCTGTTGAATTCTTTCAGGATCTGTTGAATTCTTTCAGGATCTATTGAATTCTTTCAGGATCTGTTGAATTCTTTCCGGATTCATTGAATTCTTTCCGGATTCCCCCAAGTCCTTGCAGCATTCCTCCCGGTGCTGCTCTCCCTCTCCCTCCCCGCGTCCCGCGCTCATCCGGCCGTTCCCTCCCTGCCTCTCCGGTGCACCTCGTCATTGCAGCCCTCCCTGTTCCGGGCGATCTCGATGGCCAGGAACTGGATCCTGGTGGCTGCAAAAAGCGGGACAGGGATCAGCCGCGGCTCTGGGGTCCCCCCCGGCCCCCCGCACCCCAAACCCACCGAAAATGGTGTTTTCCTCCGAGTACTCCCCGCGGCAGTCCAGGCGCAGCAGCGTGCCGAAGTTGAAATCCTCCACCACGCCCTCGAAGGCCAGGCAGAACGGGCGCCACTTCTGGGGGGACAAAAACACCCTCAGCGCCCCAAAATCCCAATAAAACCGCCCCAAATCTCACACACGGCCTCGGCCCCCATGGTTGAAATCCTTCACCGTGCCCTCCGAGCTGAGGCAGAACGGGCGCCACTTCTGGGGGGACAAAAACACCCTCAGCGCCCCAAAATCCCAATAAAAGGGGGAAATCCCACTAAGAAGGGAGGAAATCCCACTAAAAAGGGGGGAAATCCCACTAAAAAGGGGGAAATCCCATTAAAAAGGGAGGAAATACCACTAAAAAGGGGGGAAATCCCATTAAAAAGGGGGAAATGCCACTAAAAAGGGGGGAAACCCCACTAAACCCCCCCCCAAACGCCCCCCACCGCCTTGGCCGCCTCGGATTTGAGCTCCTCGGGGTCCAGCACGTCGACGCGCAGGTCCCGGAAGGCGCCGCGGAACTCCTCGTAGATCCGCTCGTCCACCTTGGTGAGCTTCAGGAATTTGGGCTCCACGGAGGAGATCAGCTGCGGGGGGGTGGATGAGCATCAGCCGGGACACCCCAAAACCCCAAAACCCCAGCCCAAAACCCAGACTCACGTTGAAGTAGACCTGGGCGTGCTGATGCGCCTTCATGGCCCAGGCCAGCTCCACGCGGGGCTGGGCAGCAGCAGGGACAGCTGGGACACCTCCTGGGGACAAATGTCCCCCCGGGGGGGTCCCCCACCCCATTTCGGGGACCCCCCCCACCCCCCTTTTGGGGGTTTTCTCGCCGCCTTTATGGGGTTTTTCCTGCCCTTGGGGTTCCTCTCTTCCTGTTCTGGGGGTTTGCTTCTTTTTGGGGTTCCCCTCCTCCCAGGGGACAAGGTTGGGACCCCTCTGTCGGGATTGAGACCCCCCCAAAACCTGGATCCCCTCCCAGCACTGTGTCCCCCCCCCAGGACAGGGACCCCAAAAGTTGGAACCCCCAAATCTGGCACCTCCTTCCCAGGACAGGGACCTTCCTCTATGGACAGGGAACCCCCAAAAGCTGGATCCCCTCCCAGGACTGGGACCCTCCTGGATTGGGGGAACCCCCCAGAACTGGGACCCCCCAGGATTGGGACAGGGGGAGACAGGGGACGCGTGGGGCGGGGGGGGGATATCGAGGGACACAGGACAACTCGGGGGGCGCAGGACACGAGGGGACATGCAGGACGGGGGGGACAGAGGGACAGGGGGTCACGGGGTGACATGGAGGGACACAGGACAACAGGTGGGGTGGGGGACACACGGGGACATGGAGGGGACACGCGGGGCATAGGGACACGAGGTGACATCGAGGGACAGCACGGGGGGACACGGGTGACGTGACGGGACACAGGAGAACGCGGGGTGGCAGGGAGGGGACACAGGTGACAGGGAGGGGACGCAGGTGACATCGAGGGGCACGGGGTGACAGGGAGGGGACACAGGTGACATTGAGGGGCACGGGGTGACAGGGAGGGGACACAGGTGACATCGAGGGACACCCAGGGCACGGGGACACCCGGGGACACTCAGGGTGGGGCCACCAGCAGGGATGTCACCACACAGTGACCTGTCACAGCGTGCGGGCTGCTGGGGCTCCCTCGCTCATCAGCACCCCCACCTGAAGGGGGTAATTAACTAATTAACAGCGCGGCTGCCGCCTAATTGCTCGGGGGGGAGTGGGCGGGGTCTCTGCGACCCCATAAGTGCCGCGGGGGGGCGGCCCCGCTGTTTGTGGGGTTCCCCTGGCGCTGAGAACTGCGGTGCTGCTTTGGGTGAGTGTTTTGGGGTGGGGGGTCCCGAAATTTTGGGGTCCTACAGCTCTGCGTGTTCCCCCCCCACCAGGCCGTGTCCCCCCCCCCAGCCATGTCCTTCACCGACAGCACCGACAGCGGCTCCGACAGACCCGTGTCCGTCCTTTGGGGTGAGTGCCACCCCCGCCCCACCCCGGGGTGTCCCCCCTGTCGGGGACCCCCCCGAGGCGTGGCACTGTCCCCTCCTGACCCCTCCTGTCCCCGCAGGGTGCGAGCTGAGCAGCGCCAGGAGCTCCTGCACCTTCCAAGTGACCGAGGACTGGCACTGCGAGCAGCAGCTGGTGCTGCGCACGGTGCGTCACCCCAAAAAATACCCCACCCCAAAAAAAAAAAAAACCTAAGACCCAAAAAATACCTCCCCCGAAACCCTAAAAAATTCCCCCAAAAAACCCCAAAAACCCCTAAAAAATACCTTCCAAAAAAAACCCTAAAAAATACCCCAATACCCCAAAATCCCAAAAAATACTTCCCTAAAAAAAAAACCCCTAAATCTAAAAGAATGCCACCCAAAAAATACCCCCCAAAAAAACCCCTAAAACCCCAAAAATACCCCCGTAAAAAAAACCCTAAAAACCCCATTTCGGGGACCCCCCCCACCCCCCTTTTGGGGGTTTTCTCGCCGCCTTTATGGGGTTTTTCCTGCCCTTGGGGTTCCTCTCTTCCTGTTCTGGGGGTTTGCTTCTTTTTGGGGTTCCCCTCCTCCCAGGGGACAAGGTTGGGACCCCTCTGTCGGGATTGAGACCCCCCCAAAACCTGGATCCCCTCCCAGCACTGTGTCGTCCCCCCAGGACAGGGACCCCAAAAGTTGGAACCCCCAAATCTGGCACCTCCTTCCCAGGACAGGGACCTTCCTCTATGGACAGGGAACCCCAAATCTGGGGCCCCCCAAAAGCTGGATCCCCTCCCAGGACTGGGACCCTCCTGGATTGGGGGAACCCCCCAGAACTGGGACCCCCCAGGATTGGGACCCCCCAAAGCTGGGACCCCTCAGCTCTGTGACCTCCCCCAGGACACCGAAGTTGGAACCCCAAATCTGAGACCCCTCTGCGAGGACAGGGACCCCAGGGCAGGGACCCCCAGATCTGTGACCCCCCTCCCAGCAAGGCTCCCCAGTGCTCCCAGTCCCTGCAGTCCAAAAAAAACCCTAAAAAATACCCCAATACCCCAAAATCCCAAAAAATACTTCCCTAAAAAAAAAACCCCTAAATCTAAAAGAATGCCACCCAAAAAATACCCCCCAAAAAAACCCCTAAAACCCCAAAAATACCCCCGTAAAAAAAACCCTAAAACCCCCCAAAAATACTTCAAAAAACCCAAAATCCCGGGGGTGTTGAGAGGGGGTTAAGGGGGAGTTGTTCTTCCCACTGCCTGGGATTAATTCCTGGATTAACTAATTAATTAATCGGGATGTGGGAGAGGTGGTGGCCGGCGGGGAGGGGGTGATTGTGTCCCTCAGCCCCCCAAATTCCTGGGGCATCCCCGTTTTTGGGGGGATGAATCCCTGGGGATGGGGGCTGAGGAGGGGTCGTGCTCACCCCGCTGCCCCCCAAAAATCCTTGAGGGTCCCGTGCCGGGTGCTGCGAGGGGTCCCGATAACCCCCCAAAAATACCCCCACCCCACAAAAAAAAAAAAAAACCAAAACCAAAGAAATACCCACTAAAAAGCCCCTAAAACCCAAAAAAAAATACACCCCAACCCCCCGGGATGAATTCCGTGTTCTGGCTGGGCAGGGGTTGCCTTCACCCCCAAAAACCCCGGGGGGGGGAGGGGGGTGCAGGCTGCATTTGGGGGTGTCTGAGGGGTTCTCCTGCTGCCCAGGTGTGCCTGGGGGAGGCGGCCCGGGATGAGTTCCACGTGCTGGAGGTGGTGGCCGAGGACGGCGACAGCCGCGCCCCGGTGCCGCTGGCCACGCTGAAACCCTCGGTGCTGCCCACGGTGAGTGCCCGGGGGGCTGCCCTGGGGGGGCTCCTGTCCCGGGGAGGGGGCTGGGGGGCTGCTGCTGTCCCAGGGGGCTGCCAGGAATTGTTTCCTCCCCCGTTTCCCAGGCCTCGCTGGCCGGAGTGGAGCTGACCCCCCCGGTGACCTTCCGCCTGCGAGCCGGCTCCGGCCCCCTCTTCGTCAGCGGCCAGCACGTGTCCAGTGAGTATCGGGGTCCCCCTGACCCCCCCCATGTGTCCAGTGAGTATCGGGATCCCCCTGACACCCCCCATGTGCCCAGTGAGTATCGGGGTCCCCTTGACCGCCCAGTGAGTATCGGGGTCCCCCTGACACCCCCATGTGCCCAGTGAGTATCGGGGTCCCCCTGACACCCCCATGTGCCCAGTGAGTATCGGGGTCCCCCTGACACCCCCATGTGCCCAGTGAGTATCGGGGTCCCCCTGACACCCCCATGTGCCCAGTGAGTATCGGGGTCCCCCTGACACCCCCATGTGCCCAGTGAGTATCGGGGTCCCCCTGACACCCCCATGTGCCCAGTGAGTATCGGGGTCCCCCTGACACCCCCATGTGCCCAGTGAGTATCGGGGTCCCCCTGACACCCCCATGTGCCCAGTGAGTATCGGGGTCCCCCTGACACCCCCATGTGCCCAGTGAGTATCGGGGTCCCCCTGACACCCCCATGTGCCCAGTGAGTATCGGGGTCCCCCTGACACCCCCATGTGCCCAGTGAGTATCGGGGTCCCCCTGACACCCCCATGTGCCCAGTGAGTATCGGGGTCCCCCTGACACCCCCATGTGCCCAGTGAGTATCGGGGTCCCCCTGACACCCCCATGTGCCCAGTGAGTATCGGGGTCCCCCTGACACCCCCATGTGCCCAGTGAGTATCGGGGTCCCCCTGACACCCCCATGTGCCCAGTGAGTATCGGGGTCCCCCTGACACCCCCATGTGCCCAGTGAGTATCGGGGTCCCCCTGACACCCCCATGTGCCCAGTGAGTATCGGGGTCCCCCTGACACCCCCATGTGCCCAGTGAGTATCGGGGTCCCCCTGACACCCCCATGTGCCCAGTGAGTATCGGGGTCCCCCTGACACCCCCATGTGCCCAGTGAGTATCGGGGTCCCCCTGACACCCCCATGTGCCCAGTGAGTATCGGGGTCCCCCTGACACCCCCATGTGCCCAGTGAGTATCGGGGTCCCCCTGACACCCCCATGTGCCCAGTGAGTATCGGGGTCCCCCTGACACCCCCATGTGCCCAGTGAGTATCGGGGTCCCCCTGACACCCCCATGTGCCCAGTGAGTATCGGGGTCCCCCTGACACCCCCATGTGCCCAGTGAGTATCGGGGTCCCCCTGACCCCCCCATGTGCCCAGTGAGTATCGGAGTCCCCTGACCCCCCCCCCACCTGTCCAGTGAGTATCGGTGTGTCCCCTGAACCCCCTCCCCTGCATGTGCAGTGAGTATCGGGGTCCCCTCTACTCCCTGACCCCCCTCTGCATGTCCAGTGACTTTTGGGGTCTCCCTGACCCCCCCATGTGTCCAGGGAGTATCAGGGTGTTGTTCCCCCCACGTGTCCCATGAGTATTGGGGTGTCCCCCATGCCCTGAACCCCCCCTACGTGTCCCGTGGGTATTGGGGTCCCCCGGTCCCCCCAGCGGGGTCCGGGGGCTCAGCCAGCCTCTCCCGCAGTCATGGACCTGACCTCGGAGGAGGAGGAGGAGGAAGAAGAGGAAGCAGCAGAGGAGGCCCCCAAGAAGCCCCCCAAGGGCTCAGGTGCCCAGAAGGGCAGCACTGCCAAGGTCAGCACCTGAGGGGTGGGGCCGGAGGGGTTTTGGGGTCCCTTGGCTCGGAGAAGGGGGGCGGCCACCCCAAATTCCTCTCTGTTACGGGGATGAGCCGCGGCCTTCATCCCTGGGGGAGGAAGAGTCCCCACCCTCCATCTCTTTCTCTCTCCCGTAGAAAAGGAAGCGGGAAAAGGAGGAGGAGCCGTGAGTATGAAACCCTGGGATGGGGGGGTCCCCCTGGCCGGGACCCCAATCCCAACCCCACCTTCTCTCCCGAGCAGGAACAGCCTCGCCCCCGCGGGTCCCCCCCCGGCCAAGGTAGGAGCAGATCGGGGCGTCCCCTGCCCCCCCCCCAATCCCTCGGGATAACGGGCCGGGGTTTTGGGGGGGCGGGGAAGGGTCGGTGTGTGACGGGTACCAGCCGCTGGACCCAAAAACGGGGGCAAAGCGCAGATTTGGGGGCTCCCCCCGCGTTCAGCCCCCTCCCCTTTCCCGCAGGGACGCGGAGCCGGCCGGGGCAGGAAAGCAGCGGCCAAGAAATGACGGGAATTCCATCCAGGTGAGGGTTGGGGGGACGAGCCCGGGTCCCCACGGACCCTGGGGGCGGCTCCGACCCCACAGCGGGGTCACTTTTCCAAAACCCTTTTCCTCCTTCCCTTCCAGGTGCCAGGAGGCAGCAGCAGCAGCTGGTGGTGGTGGTGGTGTCATTCCCAAAATAAAGCACATTTTGCACTCCTGGATCCCCGTGCTGCTGCGGGGGGGGCTGCGGGAGCACCCCCCACCCTGGATTTGGGGGGACCAGAGCTGCCCCCCACCCCGGACAGAGGGGGATTAGAGGGACAGGATGGGGTGCCACTGACCTGGCCGGGATTTGAGGGGAGCCCCCCGGGTGTCCCAGTGGGGACCTGAACCCCCGTTTGGGGCAGTGAGGGGGGGTTAACGCCACCCTGCACCCCCGGGGTGGGGACAGAGGGGACAGGGCCGGTGCTGTCCTGCAGGCTGTGCTCAGAGCTCCGGGCACATCCCGGGGGCGGCGGCGGCTCCACGTCCATCAATCGCCCCCCGGCTCCACGTCCATCAATGGCCCCCCGGGATCAGGGGGGTTCTGGAGGGAAGGGGCTCCAGAACCGGGCCCTGCCCCGTTTGGGGGGCTGCAAAGTGGTGTTGGGCTGAATTCCCTGCCCGGGGGGGTTAATTTGGGTTGGTTTTAAGGAATCGGGCCCCCCACCCCCCTGCGGATGGGGGGTGGGCTCCCCGCTGCTCCCGCCTCTCCAGAGGGGAAACTGAGGCACGAGTGCGAAGGCAGGTGAGCTCTGAACGGACCCCCCTCTCTTGTGCTGCCCCTCGGGGACCCCCCCCCATGGCGGTTTGGCCCCCCCGAGTTCCCCAGCTCCCTGCCGCGGATTTATCAGGTATTTAACACCTCCCTGGCCAGCAAAGGGTGCCTGGGGGATCCCCGGAGCCCCCCTGCGGGACTGCGAGGGGCGGGGGTCCCCGGAGCCCCCCAGCGCTGGAGCAGCTCCTGAGACCCTCCTGTGGAGGGTGAGGGGCTGCGCTGGCACCTGGTGGTACCAGAGGGTGACAAAACCTCACTGTCCCCGAGGGTTGGGGCGGGGGCAGCTGGGGACCCCCCAAGCCGAGCCCACCTCCCCCGTCCCCTCCTCCTGCCCCAGCCCCCCAGCCCGGGGCGGGCTCCGTGGAGCGGGGGGGCTGCGGGCACGGCCCTGCCCGGGGGCACCGGGCTGGGCACGGGCGGCCGGGGGCGAGGTGGCATCGATGGCGAGGAGACAGCGTGGCGCTGGGGGTCCCCTGGAGCCGGAGGGTGGAGAAGAGCAGGAGAAGAAGCCCCCCGGCCCCACTGGGGTGCCCCCTCCCCACAATCGCCTTCCCCTGTGCCAATGCCCCGGAGGCGGCAGCCGGACCCTGGGGGTGCCCAAATCCCCGAACCGGGGCTCCCCCCGCCCCGACACACCCGGCTGGGCTGGGGGGCAGAAAACCCCAAAAGCTGGAGCTCAGTGGAGCTCTACCGCAGGAGGGAAAGGCAGCACCCGCGGGCAGGGCGGGCAGAGCCCGGGTGCGCGGCCGGAGTCAGCCCACGGCCGCCGTGATTTTATTCTTCCCCTCCCGTTTTCGTCCTCCCCCACAGCCCCGGCTCCTTGTTCCTGCAGGAATTCGAGACCTTCTTGAAAGGAGAAGGTTTTGAGAAAGGAGCAGGCTGGGTCTGCACCCTCCCTGCCCCTGCCACCCCTTCCCCAATTTAGCCAAAGCTTCAAAGGCAGAGGAGTTCCCTTTGTGTCATCTCTGCTTTAATTCTTCCCCTGTCCCCTTTTTCTTCTCTCCTCTCTCTCCTCCTTCCCAAGCCCTTCCTCTCCTTTCTCTCAGGGTTTTTCCCTTTCCTCCCCTCTTTTTCTTCTCGACCTCCCAGGATAGAAAGGGCTCAGAAGGGTGAGTCCTTTTTAATTATGGCTGGAGTAGGAGAGAGAAAAAAAACCCTGGCACGGCTTCTTTCTTGTTTTTTGAGGTGAGACCTGGGCGGGGGAACAGGAATGTGCTCTGTGCAGAAAGTGCCCTGGAGGAGTCTGCTGCCAGCCTTTCCCAGGGCCTGGGGCTGTCCTGGGGGGGTCGAGGGCACCTCCCCAGAGCCCCCCTGGCTGCAGAGGTGCTGGGTGCCACCCCCCGCCAGCCCAAACCCCCTGTCCTTGCCCTCCAGTCACGGCACAGAGGTGCCATGAGCTGGACAGGGGGTGCCACTGTGGGGTGACGGGGCTGGTGTCCCCTGGGGTGTGTCCAGCCCCCAGTGGAGGTCACCAGGCTCCTTGGAGCCCTGCAGGAAGGTGCTGGGGGAGGTTTGGGGTCAGGCAGCTCCTGCACAGAGGGGCACAGGGGTTGTGTCCCCCTGGGAATGTGGGAATGCTCCTTGGGCACATCCCGCAGGGTGGGGAGGCCAAGGGATGCTTCTGCACGTCCTGCATCCCTGTGTGTGTGCACAGGATTGCTCTGCACTCCTTCCACCCCTCTGAGCATCCAGAGGATTGTCCTGCATGTTCTCCATCCCTCTGTGAAAGCTGAAGGATGCTCCTGCATTTCCTCCATCCCTCACTAAATCCAGAGGTTGTTTATCCTGCACATTCTCTATCCCTCAGTGAGGCCAAAGGATGCCCCTGCACTCCTCCATCCCTCACTAAATCCAGAGGATTGTCCTGCACTCCCTCCATCCCTCACTGAGGCCAAGGGATACTCCTGCACCTCCTCCATCCTTCACTAAATGCACAGGATTGTCTTGCACTCTTTCCACCCCTCTGTGCATTCAGAGGATTGTCCTGCACTCCCTCATCCCTCAGTGAGGCCAATGGATGTTGCTGCACTTCCTCCTCTCTTGGAGGTCTGTCCTGCACATCCTCCATGTCTCAGCGAGGCCAAAGGTTGCCCCTGCACCTCCTGCATCCCGTTTTAAATCCAGAGGATTGTCCTGCACCTCCCACATTAAATCCAGAGGATTATCCGGAACTCCTCCATCCCTCACTGAGGCCGAAGGATGCCGCTGCACTCCTCCATCCCTCTGTGTCCACAGCCTTGTCCTGCCCTCTCATCCCCCTGTGACTCCCTAGGATGCTCCTGCACCTCCTCCACCCCTCGCCGAAGCCCGAGGCCTCTCCTTCCCACCCTGCAGCTCCCGGCGAGCCCCGAGGCCGCTCCCGCAGCTCCCGGGTGCCCATCCCGGGCTGCGGCGGGCGGGGGGCGGTCGCTGTGGCAACGTGCGTGCGGCGCAGGGGCGGGAGGGGATGCTCGGCGCGGGGATGGCTCCCGGCGGACCGGCAGCGCAGCCTGCGGCGGGCCATGGGCTCCCCTGAAGGTAGGGCCTGACCCCCCGCCCCCCACCCCGGCACCCCCCGGCATCTCCTGCGCCGGGCCGGGCTCTGAAGGGCGCGGCGGGGCCGGGGGTGACCCGGCGGGGCCGGGCTCGGCTGTGGGTGGGTGGATGGGGAGCTGCGGGTTGGAGACGGATCGGGGCACCCCCAAACTCCTCGCGCCGTCCCTGAGGGCACCCCCGGAGCGCTGGGCCGGGCGGCGGTGCCACGGCCGGGTCAGGAGCCCGAGCAGCCCCCGGGCGCAGGTGGCAGCCGCCGAGCAGCCGCTGCGATCGTCTTCATGCTTGAGAAACTGGGTTAGTGGCGGGGGAGAGGCGGCCGCAGCCTCGATGATTCACGGGCACGGCCCCGGGGGGCGGCGGGGGCCGGCGGAGCCCCCCGGGTGCGGGGGGACGGCGGCGTGGCGGAGCCCGGGCCGGGATGCTCCGGCGAGCCAGGCCGGCCCTGGCGCTGAAGGACACGCGTGTGAATCCCCCTGGGGGTGTACCCCTGCCAGGTGTTCACCTCCGGGCCTGCATCCCCCCCAGATGTGCAGCCCTGGGTGTGTTTTCCCCCAGATGTGCACCCCGGGCTCCATCCCCGGACACACCCCAGGTTCTGCCTCCCCCTGCGTGCCCATCTCCCCCCAGATGTGCATCCCGAGGGGTTCAGCAACCCTTTCCTGAGCCGGGTGGGGGGAAACTGAGGCAGCGAAGAGCAGAAGCAGCGAGGAGGAGCCCCAGAAAGGGAGCTGCTGTCACCAGGCAGCGCTCCCACACAGAGCCGGGAATAGACTCCGGATCCCGGCGCTGCGGCACCAACGCAGCCCCGCCGCCCCCGGCGGGGTCCGGCCGCGGCTCCGCTCCCGTGCCGGATGCCGGGACACCGGGATGACGTTCCGAGAGGCTCCAGAGGGATGGAGGTGGCCGCAGCCGCCCTGCCCTGCCCAGCCCTTCCCCAGAACCGGGGCTGGACCGCGACCCCCAGGGCGTGGTGGGGGGATTGGGGCGTGGGGGGCATCAACGGCCAGAGCCCAGCGCTCGGTTTTGGCAGATTCCCAGCACCTGCCACCCCTCCCTGGACTGCGCCGGTCCCGCGGATGGAATTTCCCGCTGGATTTCCCTTCCCGGGGCAGCGAGGGGTGGGCGCAGCACCCCCAGACCCAGCCTGGGGGTCGGCTTGGGCGGCAGGTGCCATCTCCAGCCCCGCTCCCCACGCTGCCGCAGCCCCGTGAGGCGCTCAGCCCCCGCCCCGAGAGGGGCTGGGGGTGCCAAAATCCCTCCGAGAGGCTTCGGGGGGAGCGGGGGCCGCCGCGCCCGGTGCCCAGCGGGGGCCGGGGGGGTGCCGGGGCTCCGGGCTGCCCCTGGCAGCGGCGCAGGCCGGGTTATTCCTGTTTTCCTCCCTCTTTGTGCCGGGCGAGCGGGAGGAGCGGCAGCCAATACTGCTTCGTCATGATGCCGGCTAATTCTCCTCTTGTTGGGAAAGGGACTGAGCCAGCAGCGAGCTGGGGACGGGCGAGCGGCACCCACGCGGCCACCACCACCCCCCCCCGGGAGCCACGCACTCCTCCACCCTCCCAGCAGCGCTCACGCAGCCGCCCCCGCACGCCGCCCAGGCGCGGTTATCGGGGCCGGGGCTGCCGGGGGGTGATAGGCTCCCCCGCCCGCCCGCGCCCCGCTCTCGGATGCGCCGCAGCCCCGGCAGCGCCAGTCGGGGGCCGAGCGAGCGCAGGGCATCCCCCCGCGGCCGGAGGGATGCGGTGTCCCCGGCCTTAGGTGAGTGAGCGGCCGGCAGGGACGGGGACAGGGCTGGGGACACGGCTGGCGTGGGGGGGGTCGCTCTCCGTTTTCCCGTCGCTTTTTCGGTGCCGCTGCTCCCGGGGGGGGCTCGGGGGTGCCCCGCATTTTGTCGCCCAGCTCGTCCCCACACCCGGCTGGGGGAAGGGCGGAGGGCCCCCACCCCCCGCGGCACCACAGCGCTCGCAGCGCCCCCCGGGACCCCCCTGTGCCCCTTCCCCGGGGGCATCGCCACGGGCACGGCGGATGCCGAGGGAGGAGGCCGGGGCAGCCCAGCCCTGCCCTGCCCCACCTGAGGAGTGAATTTGCGGGGTCTCAGAGCTGCTGCTGGGGGACACCCCCCAATCCCACCCCCCCGGGAAGCGTTTGATGCTCCCTGGCTGTGGTGGTCGAGCTTTTGCCACGGACACGGGATTTTGGGGCTCCCCAACCCCCCTGGCAGAACCCAGAGGGGCGAAATCCCCTCCTCCCCACCTCCACGGAGCATCGGGGTGTGATTTAGGGGGAGAATTTGGGGCGTCCCCCCCATGTCTTGGCCGCGGATGGAGCTGTCTCGGGGGGGTTCAGCTCCTGCTGTGGGCACGCAGGGGGGTGGCCAGGCTGGGCTCATTCCAGGGCCACCACCTCCCCCCTCGGGACCCCAGGCCACCCCCCGGCTGTCCCGTCAGGTGTGAGCCCCCCCTGAGTGCCCCCAGGTGCGGTTTTGGGGTGCCCAGGCCCCCACCCCGGGGTACCCAATGCTGGGCGTGCCGTGGGGCCGGGCCCAGGCCTGGCAGAACCGGGGGGGTTTTTGGGGTGCGGGGGCGCCCCCAAACCCCCAGTGGAGCCCCGGAGGGCGAGGCCTGCTCACACATCCCCAGCGGGTCCCTCCGCGTGCGGGATGAGCAGGCTAATCCCACTTTAATCCCAGATTACGAGCCACGTGAGGAGCGGCCCAGAGCGGGCTGTGGGGTGGCCATCGGGGCAGGGGGGCCGGGCAAGGAGCCCCCCCCCCCAATCCCAGGGAGTTTTGGGGTTCAGGTCATGTCTCCCCACTCTCTGCGGGGCTCGGAGCCTCCTGGCAGGGCAGGGGGGCGGCTGCGTTGGCCCAGATTCCGCGGATGGGAGGAAGCGAGGAGGTGGAAATGCCTCCTTCATCTCCATCCGCTCCGGGATGGGGTGGGCGGATTGTTGTTATTCCCCCCTCCCCTCCCCATCCACCTTCCACCCAGGGAAACTGAGGCACGGAGCATCCCCGTGCCCGCGGCAGGTCCATCCCAGCCACGGAAAAACGCCCCGGGGGTGGCAGCTGGTGGCTTTTGAGGCCACCGCGGTGCCCGGGCAGCGGTCGATAGCCACGGGCTCGCTGCCGCTGGCCCGGCGGGGATGGCAGCGGCAGAAACAGGACAAAGGAGGAACCGGACACCGGCGGGCCGCGGGTCGGGGACCCACGAGCTGCCCGTGGCTCGTCGCTGTCGCGATCAGGTTGCCGGTGGGGCCCCGCGTGTGGCGGTGCCTCGGTTTCCCCGGTGAGCGGGGAGGATGCTCCGGGCCTCGACGCGCTGTTTGTTTGGAGGTTGTGGTGGGAGGAGGAGCAGCAGCAGCAGGAGGAGGAGGAGGAGGAGGCCGGGGCTGGGCTGGGCCGCGCTGGGAAGCACCGGACACCGTTCCCAGGGCTGGCGGGAACCGTCTGTTCAGGGAACTTGTGACCCCGGGTGTCCCCCCCCCTTGTCGCTGCTGGCCGCCGGCCGCGACAGCCGTGCCGCAATTCGGGCACACGGCGGCACGGGCAGGGAAGGGAGGGTGAGGAGGAGGATGATGGAGGAAGGCTGGGGGGTCCCCTCCCGCTCCCCCACGGGCCGTGGGGGGGTTCTCACGGCCTGGCCCCTGGCCCGGGGCCGGGCGCTGATGGCTTTGGCGGCTGCGAAAAGTCAAATCCGGATTTCCTCGGGGTGGGGAGGAGGGAACCGGCCTCTTCCCGCGGCAGCACAGCCCTGGCTCCCCCTCACGGGGGGGCGAGCGGCACCCCTCCATCCCGGTGAGCCCCGCCCGCACGTGTGTCGTCCGTCCGTCCATCCATCCATCCATCCTTCCTTCCTCCACCTCTCCCCCTCTTCCCACGCTCCCTGCCCAGCCCTTTTCTCTCCCCGCCGTGCGTCCCCTCAGCATCTCCCTGGGAGGGGGACACGCTGCGTCCCCCCCCCTCCTGTCCCCGCTCCCCCTCGCTCTCCCGGCCAGGAAAATCCCAAACAGCCGAGCCGCCCTTATCTCGGGCCACGCGGGGACCTGGCCGCGGATCCGCGGGGCGATCGCAGGTTGCCATGGGGAACGCGGCTGCCATCGGGGCGGTGGCTCCCTGCCTGCGCCTGATAAGCTGTCCCCGCGTCCCCAGAGCGCGGGGAGGGGCGGGGGGGGGACACCGCGGCCGAGGTGGTTGTGCAGGCCTGGCACCCCTCGCCAGTTTTGTGGCGTCTCTCCGCACCCCCGGCTCGGGTTTGTTTTCCTTCCCCGCCGGCCCCGCACCCACCCTCCCGCCGCTCCCGCTCTCCGCCATCGCCTCCATCTGCTCGCTGTCACCGCGGCCCCGCCGGTGTCCCCAGCGCCCCGGAGCGCGACCGGAGGCGGGGGGCAAGGCTGGCTCCGGCGCTGGAAAGTGTGAGCACAGGGCTGTGCCCGCCCGGACAATGCCAGCCTTGTGCCGCGCCGGGGGTGCCCACCCCACCGGTCCCGGTCCCCGGGGAGGTGCTGGGGGTGGGGGTCACCGCGCTAAACCCCGTGCCAGGGACAAATCTGGGGGTTCTTTGTGGCGGGGGGGTCTCCAGGGAGGGGACGCGGAGCTGCGGGCAGGGCCCCCTCCTCCTGCAGCCCGAGGATGCTCCGGGATCTCTCGGATCTGCTCCTGCTCCATCTCCGCGTCCCACGGGAGCGAGTTCTGCGCTCGCGGGGCTGGGGGACAGCGGGGTTGGTGTCCCCAAAGGCGGTGCCACCCCCGTGCTCTGCAGGGTTGGGGCTCAGGGTAGGAGCTGCCCCCGCTGCTGGCGCTGTCGCTGTCACCGCCCGGCCCGCACGAGTTTTCCCAACTCCCTCCTTTCTGAAAGGAGAAGTTCGGAGCAGAATGGGGAATTTTCCCCTTTGTGCTCGGCATTGTGGCTTTAGAGCGCGGCCGGGCCCGAGCCCCGGGGGCTCCGGGGGGCCGAGTCCGTCCCGCTGCCGCTGGAGCCTTCTGGAGGCCGCGGGACAAAAGGGCGACACTGCCGCCGCTCCGCTCGCCAGCACCGTCAGCAGCCACCGCGCAGGGACACGCAGCGGGCACGGGGGACAGCGTGGGGACAAGGGGAGGTTTGTCCCCCACTCGCCCTGCGAGTCACCGCCAGCTCTGTCCTCTCCCTGCAGAGGGAACACCCGAGCCCCTGCCCGGCGTCGGCGCCCAGAGGGATGTGGAGCCACAGAGGCAGCGGTGAGTGCGGTGTCCCTGCCTGTCCCCTCCCTGTCCCTGCCTGTCCCCTGCCTGTGCCTGTCCCAGTCTGTCCCCTGCCTGTTCCTCTCTGTCCCCTCCCTGTCCCTCCCTGTCCCCTCCCTGTCCCCTCTCTGTCCCCTGCCTGTCCCTCCATGTCCCCTCCCTGTCCCCTGCCTGTCTCTGCCTGTCCCTCCCTGTCCCCTGTCTGTCCCTCGCTGTCCTCTCCCTGTCCCTCGCCTCTCCCTGCCTGTCCCTGCCTGTCCCCTGCCTGTGCCTGTCCCTCTCTGTCCCCTGCCTGTCCCTCACATGTCCCCTCCATGTCCCCTCCCTGTCCCTCACCTGTCCCTGCCTGTCCCTCCCTGTCCCCGCCTGTCCCTGCCTGTCCCCCTCTGTCCCCTCCCTGTCCCTGCCTGGGGCACAGTGGCATCTCGCGGCAGGCGCGTCCTGCTGCCAGCACAGCGATGTTTGGCAGTGGGGACGTGCCACCCTCGTGCCCGGTGTGGGGCGTGCGGGGCTCAGCCCGTGCCAGGAGGGCGGTGGGAGATGGGACCCCCACCCGGGGGGCTCTGTGCCCACCCTGGCAGTGCCCACAGCCCCGCTGTCCCCACAGGAGCCTGTGACTGACACAGCCCTGCCAGCCCACAGCTGAATGGAAAGACTGCAGAAGGTGAGGGGGGCTGGGGAAGGGCTCTGGGGGTCCGGGAAGGTCTTGGGGGTCAGAACAGGGTGCTGAGGGTCCAGAACTGGGTGCTGGAGGTATTGGGGGTCCAGAACAGGGTTCTGTGGGTCCACGGAGGATGTTGGGGGTCCAGAACTGCATGCTGGGGATACAAAACAGCGTTCTGGGCGTCTGGGAATGTGATGGGGGTCCAGAACAGAGTTCTGGGGGTCCAGAACTGGGTGTTGGGGGTTCAAGGAAGGTCTTGGGGGTCCAAGGAGGGTTTGGGGGTCCAGGGAAGGTGCTGGGATTCAGGAAAAGTGTTGGGAGTCTGGGAAAGGTGCTGGGTCAGAACAGGGTGCTGGGGGTCCAGAGAAGGTTCTGGAGGTCCAGGGAAAGGGTGCTGGGGGTCCAAGAAAGGACATTGGGGGTACAGAGAAAGTGCTGGGGGTGTGGGGAAAGTTCTGGGAGTACAGAACAGGGTGTTGGGGGTCCAGAGAAGGTTTTGGAGGCCCAGGGAAAGTGCTGGGGGTCCGGGAAAGGTGCTGGGGTCTGGGAAAGTGCTGGGGGTCCAGAGAAGGTTTTGGAGTCCAGAAAAGGGTGTTGAGGGTCCAGGAAAGGTGCTGGGGGTCCAGAGAAGGTTTGGGAAGTCCAGGGAAGGGTGTTGAGGGTCCAGGAAAGGTGCTGGGGGTCCAGGTGGGGTGCTGGGGGTGCTGGGGGTCCTGGCAGGGTGTGGGAGAAGGGGGAGCGCTGCACGCAGGGAGGGCACACGGGGCTGGGGGCCAAGGGCATGGGCTGCTGTGAGCAGGGCCCTGCCTTCCTCCTCCTCCTCCTCCTCGTCCCCAGCCCAGCCTGGCAGCACCATCTAGCGGCAGCGTGTCCTGGCCAAGCCGCTGTCACCTCCCCGCTGTCACCTCCCCGCTCTCACCTCCCCGCTGTCACCTCCCCGCTGTCACTGCCGGCCCGCGCCCACCAGAAACGCCCATCCCCAAGGAATCTGGGCTCCGTGGGCACAGGGGTGTCCCCTGCCCCCCTCCCCGAGCACACCCCCGAGCCCCTTCCTGGGCTGAAATCCCCCCTTTTCCATCCAGCAGCCTCTGACCTCCCCTGGGAGCGTCTGCTCTTCCCGCGGATCCAGCGTTCCTGGCTCTCCCTCCAGCATCGTGGTAAGAACCTTTCCCACCTTCCCACCTCATCCCTAA